ACTTCCGTGATGTGATGCTCGCTTCCGCCAAGTTGGACGCAGACGTGTTGCCCTGTAGCGACCCGGTACTGTTCCTTCATTATTTATTTTGATTTATGTTTTATTTGTACGGTTTATATAGTATTAGATTTGCTGTATCAAATTCATATAATGTATCAACGTTTTCTACATTAAATTGTAATTAAATTTCAATAAATATAGGAGTTTTATATAATACTTATAAGAATGATCTCTGTTCAAGTATTTAATTCTCATATTTGTAAAATGTAAATATATTTACTTCATTTAGTCACTACTAAAGGTTATTCCTTACCCTCTCGCGATCAATAGAATGATTTTCGAAATGCTATCTGAAAGGGGCAACACTGTAAGTAATATTACTTTATTCTCAGGTTATTGATTATTTGGTTTTCTTGTATCTTAACGTTTTGTGTAAAGTTTAGATATGTAGCACTGCAAGTATTCCGTACAATCATTTATATATTCATTTGGCTTTCATCTTCCAGGACGCTGTAATTGGCTTTGAATTCTCTGGTCGCCTCTCGAGCGGCCGCAGAGTCATGGGAATGAGGATGGGAGGTTGCGTGTCGTCGGAGATTATAGCACCTGAATTTCTCTTATGGGATGTTCCTGAAGAAATGACTCTCCTTGAAGCTTCCACCATACCTGCTGCCTATGGAACGGTAAGACACTCAAAAAAGGAATTAATTCAAGCATTTACACTCCTACTACATTTTCTCAAAATTTCTTTCTACGAGTTTCCATATCTTCGAATAAATCAAAAAAGACCTTTTCTACCGAATTGAGTGTGTCTTAGTAGCAAATTTCAGTTTGACGTTGAATAGCGAAATTATTGCAGTAAAGGTATCCTATACCGGTACAGAAATCCATTTACCTCTATTACACCTTTATACCATTTTAAAATACCGGTGCACGACGAGTATGTTTAGAGCTATTTTACCTTTATCCGATGTCTATGCCGGTAAAATATCTACATTTAAAGATATTGTACAGGTATTTTCACATAAAACTAAACAACTTAAACAAAATGGTGCCGTTTTTTTAGAAAGAAATTGTTAAACAAAATATTAGATGAACAAAATTAGAGATGAATTGCCAATATTTCACGCTAAAATGCGCGAAAAGTCCTCATGTTTTCGAAAAATCGTACATGAACTGATTTCAAAGTATGTCGTTAAAGAACAGGTTTCATTAACGGAAAAAATTATATATTTTATATTTGGTAAAAAGTTGTAGGAAACCTCGAATTTTCGAAAAATCTGCATTTTCAAAGAACACGAGACTTGCACCAATTTCTTAAACTTCCTAAAACTATTCAACAACAATATTTAATCAAAAACGTTTGAGCCTTTTTTTAACATTTTGAAAATGTCCCAGGAGATTCATGTAAAGTACCCCCAAAATTAAAATATTGGATTCAAATTCAAGAAACCAAATCGATTGGGGAATAAAAAATTTGGAGAAATCATCTACACGGTTACCTGCTAGCGATGTTCACAGACAGACGGACGGTCGGACGGACAGACGTTTTGCAATCAATCAGTTTTTCGGTATGCTAACGGCCGACTAGTTAGGTCCGATAGGATGCTCGTTTCGAGCATTAAGATCTTAGGGTGGCATGATATTTAGGGTGTGAGAAAGTTTTACCCAAGACACAGAATTAAGCAAATCAGTGCGTATATTCTTCCAAGAATACTCATACAACCATAGACACAGGCACTGAACATATACAAAGAAAATAAATGGCAAATAACACGAATGTCACACAGAATGAAATTACTCTTTGCAATACTTTGAAAAGTTACACACTTTAATATTTAACTAATTAACTCTTCCTAATTAATTCCCTTATAGAAATGCCCGCGCACGGTAATTACTACTTGGCCAGCATCGTTTGAAAAGAAACAAAATGTTAATTTACTGGGATCAATTATCACAGTACACAGTAAAATTATTTATTTCTACAAAATTTCTTTGACTCTAAAGCTCGCAACAAATTAACACAACGCAACGAATTAACATCTATTATACAGCTATTTACAATGACTTTCCTTGGAATATTAAACACAAATGAAATGTATTTCACTGGCTTACAAGGTTCCCGTTTCCACTTGCAATATATTCCGCAGCGAATCTACCTGATTGTGCAAATTTTTGGTCAGAATTTTGGTCGCTCGCGGCTCCGCGAGCTCTAGACTCCCTTACAAAATTTGTTACCTTTGCAATAGCGCTGCCTTCCAGTTGGCCACGATGTCGCATGAACACCGCTGTCTTCGTCCGGTTGCCCACTGCATCCGCGCCTGCGCTTCTTTCTTCTCTATTCTAGCAGACGAAATCCGCGCTGTCTTCTTCTCTCTTCGCTATTCTTGACTCGTAGCACGCCGACGCGTGCTCTACAACTCGCCCCTTCACAATCCTATGCACTCTCTCTCTCTCTCTCTCTCTCTCTCTCTCTCTCTCTCTCTCTCTCTCTCTCACACACACACACACACACACACACACTCACTCACTCACTCACATTCTCTGTCACACTCTCTCTCAACAAGATGTCGATTATGCTCTACACCAGCCTCACTCTTCTCACACGTCTGCACACCTCGACGTTTCGTATAAGAAGGGCTGAGTGGTCAGCCGCTCTGCTTTCCTGAAGGGGTAGCATGACAAGACGGCGGACCCCACCGCGCTTGCCATGATACGCTGTTTTGTACTCTTATTATTGACGCGTCTGAGTTGCGAGAATCCGTCTTGTCGTTGCCGAAACAGCGTTCTGAGCGTGGCTCAAACACTACAGTTTATAGGACCAAAATAACATGGATTCTGTCTACGTGTTTAAGGATTTCCCTCCTAAATTTAGCAACTGGATTTATCCACTTTTTCGTTACCCGACCCGGCAACAAGAGTTTTTCCGCCGCTTTTCCTCGTAGCATTACATAACTTTCTCTTTACTGCGTAGGCGGTAGCGACAAATTAAAAAAATCTACTACACGCATGAGGCAGCGTCGCCAAGTTGTGTTGCGGTGTATTTTAATTTAGAGACTTTGCAGTCCAATAATGCACTTTGAATACTAATTTAGACTTTTTTGAATGGGCTTGTAAGAGTCAAATAATTTCAAAATTGTAAGATTGTAAAACAAATTCCCTTAAAAATGTTTTTCAGTTTATCTAATTCTACGATATTTGAACGTCATATATACGTAAAACACAATTATGACAAAAAAACAATATTAAGGGGATGAAAGGATCACAGAATCTAACGTGAAATTCATTATTTTTACTCTAGTTTCATTTCACGGTTTATATAAGTGTACAGTCATTCCGGTCATTTATTTTGACAAGGAAGCTCAATTATTAATTAGTAATGAAAATGATTTTGAAAAAAGAGTAAACATATCGCAAAAAAAGATTTTTTAAATTTCGAATTCACTTGAATTTGAGGCGTATCTCCCGGACTATGGCGTGGTGGGTGCGCAGG